TTTGACAAGGTCACTCAAGGTCAAATCCACATTTCCATCATGTGTCCCCCAGTCCCCCTTCAAGCCAAGCAACTTTCGTTTGAAAAATTTTTCAATAAAATCATCGATTCGCGAGATAATCGACCATATCACTTAAAATGAAACACCCTGTATATATCATAAATCAATCTACAAGGACTCCTTACTATTCAAAAGAAATTTGGAGAAAACAGGGCAAAAAACGCGTTTTTTAATAAAGAGATTTGTGTTATATCGGTATATTTTTTATTTGCGCAACGACTACCGCACCTAACTCCTATTGCCCTGTTTTCTCCAAATTTCTTTATATATAGGTCGTCTGAAAAGTTTTGAGCCTCAACATGAAGATGGCATTACTCGTCAAAACAATTTTGGTACTATAATCGTACATACTTTAAAAGATACCTGCGAAAATTGGTCGCGTTCAGCAGACTCAACTGTTGTGGAGCGGATCCGTGAGCGCTCGCTGCTATTGGTGTATTCTTTTAGATTATCCAATAGCAGCGAGAGCTCACTGATCCGCTCCGCAACAGTTGAGTTTGCTGAACGCGACCATTGTAGCTACTTCCGGCGCTTAATTGTTGTTTGACAGTCATTTGTGCCAGTCAATGTCAATGTTTTTGTAAAAATAGAAAAAATCGAATATCAGCAGTCGCTATGATAAAAATTCACGAATTGCGGTTCGAATTAATTGACCATCCACCGTATTCACCAGATCTGGCCCCCAGCGACTTTTTTCTGTTTCCTAGGCTCAAAGTTTGGCTCGGAGGACAGAAATTTTCATCGAACGAGGTCATCGCATCCGTAGACGCCTATTTTGCAAAGCAAGACGCTCAGTATTATTTGAATGGATTAAAGGGGTGGGAGCATCGCTGGAAAAAATGTATCGACTTAAAAGGAGACTATGTGGAAAAATAAAATTGAATTTGACGAAAAATTACTTATTTCTATGTTAGGCTCAAAACTTTTCAGACGACCCTCGTATACACACACACACACACACACACACGCACACGCACACGCACACGCACACGCACACGCACACGCACACACACACACACACATACACACACACACACACACACACACACACACACATCTAATTTCAATAAATAATCGAAAATAAATGTGTTTGAAATTATGAATAAAAATATCGTTTTTTTTTTTTTCGAAACGATGAAACAGTTCCGGGATCTAACAATAAGTTGATTACTCACTGACTTAATAAAGATTTATTATTATTATTTATTTACGATATGTTATTTTGTCCAACCCTTTGATATGGTTTCATTAATTTGTTCCTATGTTTTTTCCAACATTTAATTATTTCGATGACTCAAAAAGAGTCGAAACATTCGAAAAAATTGTCATGTATGTACATTTTGATGAATAAATTGTAAAAAGTTATCAATTTGCACATTGTAAACTGCAGTGTACTCTAGCTCGTTTCTTTGTTTAACTATTAGTTAGTGTGTCATTGAGATTATATATTTACCATTTGTTTTGTTATTTAATTATTTTTGTAAATTTATTTTAAATTTTTATTGTGATCTTAAAATGGCCAAAGAAGACTTAAGTTCAGTTGAAACGTTCTATACTTTAGAGAGATTGTGTTAAATTCTAATTTATCTCCTATGGATGAATTTGATATCTTAATAAATTAAAGTGTATAATCTTATATGTTGCTCGTTTTATCTTTTCAATCCAATCGTTCTTTTGTGTTTCTACTATTACATTACTTCAGATTCGTTAACAATTTGTTTGTCACTAGTTTGCAAAAATCACTTTCTATTATTGTCAATTATATTTTATTATATAAGTTCATCTAAATGTGTGAGATTATATTCCTACACAAAATTGTATATAAATTATCTGTATTTTATTTAAAACAAAATTATTTCTCTAATTTTTATAGTAAAGCATATAGTCCTCTCTAAAAATGTTTCTTTAGAATAGTTGTTCGTTTGTAAACTGATTCATAGTATATTATTGTTGTGTTTATAATTTATAAATTTCTACATCATAGTTTTTAAGATATGAGATTAGCATAATTAATTTTTGACTGTTTTAACATTTTATATTAGGAATTAATATTGCACAAATACAAATTATGTATTTTTATGCATACTATGAATATTTATTCAAATGCATTCTAAACAGTTAAATATCTTTCATGAACAATTAAAGCATAAATCACTTTTATTCCTATCATCTATGAAAATGTCTAAATACAGACACTATCATTAATCAAGCACAATTAGTGATATTTGTAATTCTTGTGATGACCTAAAATGAAGAAAAAACAAAACATTAAATTTACAGTTGCATTAAAAATGAAATTAATTATCTGAGTAATACTCACGTATCTTTTTATAATTCATTGCATAAAACGCAAACATAGAAGCGACTACAACTTGAAAGAAGGGAGCTATGCCAGTTCGTTTAGGCTGTACGTATTTATGTTGCCAACGCCAAAACGCTATAAAGTAAACGGAGTAACATTATGACAAGGAATTTTTACACAAGTTAGATATTGTTTTCTGAATGTCATATTAAAGTTGTATAATTTTTGGCTAATAAAATGGTTTCTTTCCTGTGTATAAGTACCTCGTGAAAACAGTCCGACAAGTGCACGAGGGCTTTTTTGACGTCTCGTGAACCAGCTAGGAATTTCTTTGAGCTTCAAATCTAAGAAAGCAGTGTCAGCTGCATAAAGAAAGAGGTTATTATTACATAATATTATTAATTGTGCCCAAGCAAAAGAAATGTACTTATGTGACGCGATGAACAAACTCACGTTTTCCATAGTAGCGTGCAGGATCATATGGTCCATGTTTCACAGGATCGTATTCCGCAGGATAACTACCAAATTGCAGTTTATTCTCCATGGAGAAATATCAGTTTTTATGATAAATTCCACGAAGTTATCGAACAAGATACGTATATGAACGTCTAGTGCCAGTCATAGACATACAAGATATATAGACTCAGGCTCGTCTACAATATGCGGAGTAAGCTTGGTTTAAGAAGTAAAAGTGCATTCATATGTAAGCGTCAAGCGTCAAGGAGCGGAAGCAGCAACCAATCAACGAGGCGATTTTTACAGTGGCGTAAAAAATATTTTTTACACCACTGCCCGTATCATCTTGATGCTTGACACTTGCATGTGAATAGAATAAGAAATTGACCAATCACAGTCGATTATTCTTCTCACATTCGACTGTGATTGGTCAATTTCTTACTCTTATATTGTTACGCCAGTGTAAATATCGCCTCACTGATTGGTTGCTGCTCCGCTACTTGACGCTTACTGCGTCCAGTGTGAATTAGGCATTACTTCCTAAATCAAGCTTACTTCGCATATTGTAGACAACGCCTAAAGCTGGTTCTACATTAGTCGCATCGCAGCGTCGCAAGCGTTGCGGTCC